CATAGTCCTCTATAAGAAACATGCGCGTGGGAGGATACACAAGTCTGCTCAATAAGAATTTCGCTTATAAGAAGTGTTGGCTCACGATCCGTCTCCTGATTCAGTTCAATGGGTACAGAGGCATCTTCCGTTATAGGTTCCTTTTCATCACCAGCACCCTCCCCTGAAGGAATGAAATTAGTATGTTCAACGGGGAGCAGGTCCGTTGCACTGTGTAGCTGCATTATGCAGAGTTTTCTGTTGCTGTATAGATGCATCGTATTTCCAGCAATTGCACGTAAGCTGAGACCATAGCCAAAGTTCGACGCAGGGGAATGTGCCGGCATCGTTCACTTACTAAGGTGCAGGAGAGCTGCATTGAAGTCGGAGCGACGCCTAGCAACAACGGAGCCTACTCCCTTTATCATGATTGATCGTCGGAATGTCTTTGCGTTTGTCCGTTTCAGTGATTCTTCGCACAGACTGTAGAATACCCGTGTCTTGAAGTTCTCTGGCCGCCGCCGCGCTGGCTTTGGTGAAGGTTGCTTCGCGTCTTCTCCTTGAGCAGCTGATTCATCGTCAGCGGCCTCTTCCTTTGGTGTTGCCTCTTCGGTTTCTGGGTCTGGAGCAGGTTCCTCTGTATTCTCTCCCTCTTGGCCTCCATCTTGAGCGGGTTCTTCTGGCTCGGGCTCTGCCTCTGGCTCCGGCTCTGGCTCTGGCTCTGGCTCCGGCTCGGGCTCCGGCTCTAACTCTTCATGCGGCTCCGGTTGCGGCTCTATCTCCACCTCCGGCTCAGGCTCCGGGCTCGGCTCTGGCTCTGCCGCAGTTTCCTGCTCTGGAGGGGGTGTGGGCTCAGGTTCCGGGTCTGGCTCTCCAGGAGGCGTAGGGACCGGTGTTTGTTCACTCTTGTCTGATGATAGTGCATTCTTGAGGTCCTCCAGGCTCAGGTCATTCCCCTCAACGGATGCCAGATCTTGCAGCAGCACAACTTGAGCATCATCCAGTTGACACACCCCTTTCTGCGGTTCCGGTTCAGATTCACTTTCTTGCACTGCCTCGCTTTTCGTTATTTCTGGTTCATCCACTTGTTTTTCTAGCGCTGGAGGAGCTCCCTTGAGACGAACTAATTTCTTCATACCCTCCATCTGCACTGGTAGCCCAATGGAATTGAATTGCCTGAGCTCATCCTCGGAAACTCCGGATATTCGAAGGGGCAGATCGCTTTTGCTTTGATAATCTGCGAAGTGCCGGCGAGCACGTGGAGGCGTCGGTTGTGGAGTTGTTGGCTCTGTAGTTTCTTGCGGAACAGGCTGCGGCGTTTCCTGTTCTTCCTCAGCGGGAGGTTCTGGGGTTGTGGAGCTCTGGCGCTCGATCNTTTGATAATCTGCGAAGTGTCGGCGAGCACGTGGAGGCGTCGGTTGTGGAGTTGTTGGCTCTGTAGTTTCTTGCGCAACAGGCTGCGGCGTTTCCTGTTCTTCCTCAGCGGGAGGTTCTGGGGTCGTGGAGCTCTGGCGCTCGATCGGTTCCTCTTGATTTCTCCTTTCCTTTAGGACCGCTGAGATAGATTTTGAGAAAACACTCTCCAGAAATGCCCGAGAGGCAGCCCCCAGCGGCGCTATGTTCGAGTAGTCCGCCCATTCGGTTGTCATCGGTTCATCTTGTGATACCTCCGTGCAGTCATGGAGCACCTCCTCGTGGAGTTCAAGACTCTCAACGGGTGCCTTTTCGCCGCTCATATGAGCAACCAATAGTGCCTCGACTGCATCGTGTTCTGCTTTGCTCCATTCAGCTACACACCTCGCGTCGCCATCAGGATTCACAATCAGATCTACTTGCTGAGCGTCTTCTTGCTCTTGCTGCTCACTGTCGGGCTTCTAAATACATGTTAGCACACGAACACACGCGCCACAGCTCCAATCCGCTACACGTTTGCCTTTGTATCCTATAATGGGTATACTGAGGTGCTAGCGATGGCGTGGTCACACTTTGCTGCAACTAAAGATATCCAGAGCTACCCTCTGACCTTCAGGTCTTTGTTCATGACCTTGACGACGATTTTAGGTTTAATTTTTGTCATTCTTGCACCAGTTTTGGCGCGGGCCCTCTTAACAGTAATTCTTCGGAAAANTTAGGTTTAATTTTTGTCATTCTTGCACCAGTTTTGGCGCGGGCCCTCTTAACAGTAATTCTTCGGAAAAGCCGCTTGAGGAACTCTGCGTAGACAGAACCGTCTATGCCTGGGGTCCATATGTCCGCCAGTTGAAAAAAAGACTCAAAAAATGCGGAACGGCTAAGACCTTCTTCGCCCTTAGAGTCCTGTCGCCATTCTTCCTCTATCAAATCCACTACTTCGCGGCCTCTCAGTTGAGGTACCAGCACGAGGCAGATACGGAGCAAAACCTTCAATTGAACCCAACATGAGCATAGGTCTGTTTTACGAAGAGGCACAGCAGCCATCATATCTTATTGCTAGGCCAGCTCTATATTCGGGTGCACGAAGGCAGGCAAAACCAAATGAATGTGCTCCAAAGTCTTAAAACTTTAAACTCTACAGCCTAGTGTTACGGTGTAGGACTCGTCGCAGCACAAGTTGCACGCAGCAGGCAAGGTCGAGAATCCCCGTACCCGAGCGTACTCTTCCTTGGAGANTCGCAGCACAAGTTGCACGCAGCAGGCAAGGTCGAGAATCCCCGTACCCGAGCGTACTCTTCCTTGGAGACGCGATTTTGGCTATCCTTTGCAAAGTAAGACCATGTATCCTCCAAAGCCGCCACCACTTCTTGGTGCGTCTTGAGCGCTTGACGTTCCGCTTGCTTTTCTGGCGTTTCGAATGACGCATCTCCTAAGCAAGTGAACGGCAAAGAGCGACAACGCTGGAAGATGATAACGCGGTGGCCGCAACAGCAGCTGAAACATGAACAGAAAGCCTAACCTGGAGAACGCAGCGCTTTACTAGCGAGCAGTAGGTATTTTACAGGAATCCATAAACGCGTATTCATTCTCATCCTTACCTTGGAGGTAATATGGAGTCTCACAAGGTACTTTTTCCCATTCAAACAGGTCTTCCGATCGAGGTTGCGGCATTTCTAGCTCTTCCACCGCGCGAAGCTCAACTGCTTCTGCTCGGCCTGGTCTGTCCGCATCTAAGGCGGATAACCCTTCGAGAGGAGGAACGACAGGTGAGGGTTTGCCATGATGGTCTTCTGTGATAGAGGAACTACTGCCCCCTCTGCTCGGCAGTTCGCCACTATTCACAGCCGCTGCGGGGGGGCTTTCGCCTTGGAAGGGTTCGTCAGTTTCAGGCTGGCTCTGATCTTCATGGGGATCCGCGAGTTCACTCGCCCCCGAAGTGTTGGGCGAGTTCTCACTCATTACGGCCTTCTACGAGATAGAGGCCAAGCCTAAGTTACCAAGACCCAGTGGGAAGATTACTACCGCAATTGCGGTACAAAAAGAACCAGCCTGGCCTCCAAGGACGCAGCCTGTTCTCCGTATCGTTCCGGGCCGCAACGGCAATACTGGGATGCACCAGCAAGCACGTGCAGTCCTGCTAGAGACGCAGCTTCGTAGCTGGTGTAGGCCTTCTGTCTCCACCAGGCATTTGCGATCTACACGCACCGCTATCGATATGTAGCTCTCCCTCGTCCCCTCACTACTTACGGACGACTCCCCTGTGCGCCAGCATTGGCATGTATTCCGTCGGGACGGGCTCCCTCCTCACTGATGAGAGCTGAGGAGCAAGATTTCGTTCGTTGGTATTCCCTATTTATATGAAATTATAATGGTAGCGCGTCCTACTGCCTCAGCTACCAGGCTAGGCAGATGGACAGGACCTAGGCGCATGCAGCGGCGGACTGGATACGCTTCCTTATACCTGGCCATCTACTATGCTAGGACAAAGTGAGTTTAACTCCCTTGGTATGTGAGTCCTACGGCCTCCAGAGGGCCATAGCGTATATAAGAACAATATACCTACGCCTAGTCTTTCGTTCTGGGGCATGTCCCCTCCAAGACAAGTAGTGTGAGTGTGCCCGCTCGCTGTGAGCGGCCTTCTGCTCTCTATCTCTGTGCTTCACTCAGACAAGCCTGGACATTTCGAAGTATCATTAGGCTTAGCTAACCAGACGAACGCTTGAAGAGAAAGATCTGAAGCCCAACATTAGGGATCCGTAGAGGCCTTGGGACT